TTTGTGTATGATATTGATAATCAGTGTTATCATATGTTGTCATAGGGTTGGGCAGAATCGTGTGGAATTATTAATCAGATAAACTTTTGCTGGTTATTCTTTGGCACTTGGTGATGTAATACATGTGTGGTATCGACAGCCTCAGCAAATCATTAGGTTCTGTTGAAAACTCATTCRTCTTCATCWTACGAGTCATGTCTGACATAGTTGTGAACAAATTGTTGTTATGTATCTTGAAATAGGATCTAAATCCATACAACATAAACTCTCTCCAGTAGTTTCCTCCACAGACATTTTACCCCCTGCCCTCCAGCGGAGATCGCTCCGCCTTCCAAACCACGTGACTGAAACCCAGCTATTTAGCTACATGCAAGCCTGTCTATTGTTTATACCTTAATTACTCTTTTCTCCATCATTGTAATTCCATGCCCCCATACTATTTCAAAGATTGATAATGTACTGACAGGAATTTCTTCATATGTAATGTAATTGTCTAATATTTCTGTATTTCTATCTGTGTTCGATTATAGTACAGCACCTTCTGAAACAAATGTTCATGTATTTTTTTTTAAAACCATGTAACAATACATGGGAACACGGCGAATGACCTACCCTTGGGCAGGATCTTTCTAAAAAAAAAATGGGCACAAGTGTCACTGAGACTGTAGTCAGGAATGCAATCTTGGGAATTGGGATTTCGTAACACAAAAGCGCTTCAAATCAAAGCACACCCTACTGGAACTGTTACAAACTTTTCTCCTTTCTTGTCTCTTTCTCTGAGTTTTTAATCACGTTCGATAATCTTTTTGGATGAGAAGTGAAGTTAACTTAAAATCCCGGTGGTGGTTTTAAGTAGGSTATGTGCTTGGGTAGAAAGGATTTTTTTTTATCTCACTAGAATAAAGGGTTATCAGTTACTTGTTTCTTTTTAGGAAATAAGGAAGTCAACATGAAAGCGGATAGGGGTCATAGACAGAGGAAACTTTAGCTGCCCTGAATAAACAAAAGAACAATTTTGAAGTACTCTGAATAAGGACAAGCAAAGTGAATATCTTGATATTTTCTTTGTGTTTTCGAGCAACCATTATGTTGTCCTGAAGTAGACACTGTTACAGGTCATGCATTGAACATCGTGCCATTCAGCTCACCACGAACATTTCAAATCGGTTTAGTCATGCAAAAAGGTTTGGTTGCATGTTACTACCAACAAAACGCACAAGAGTGTTAGGAGTTTTTTTTTTCTGTTGATTCATTAGAACTTAAATTTAAATCGGTTTTCTTGCAAACGAAGTAACCAGGTGTTGAACAAGTCACATGCACAAGTGAGTTGGGAATTTTGAGTCTCATTAGCAAAATAAATCATAGTAATGGGTTGCGTGCTTGATTCTGTTTCCCTTTTCGAATGTGAATGCAGAGTCAGAGCTAAGATTTTATTACAGCTGCTGATTTATGGAGGGTCAAAACACAGTTAAATAATCCTAAAAGGGTTTCTCAATTCATGGGTTGCAGCCAACGTTG